TGAATTAGTGTAGAGAAAAATCACCGGTTTTAAAATTTCTTCGTATGATAAAAAATCGATTTCGACGAAAACCATTTTGTAAATATAAATTTAACTTGAAAGCGTGCATAAGAGTGTATTGAGAAGGTAAAGCAAGTAAGGAAGTATGCAATGTAAGTAAAGAGCTTAAAGTAAATGCAAACCAAGTTTTATAGTGTTTCGATCGTCGTGACCTATATCCACTCCGTTGATTCCCCTTCCGTCGAGGCCATCGGCATCCACTAAAGATCATTCTATTAGGATCAGGAGCACTAAGAGGGGGAGGGAGGTGAATTAGTACGTTGAAATCCGATTTTGACGTAAAAGTCGTTTCGTGCAGATAATAACTTTGAAAGCTTACGGAAACGTATTTGAAGTAAAGTAAGGAAGGCAGTTTGCTATTAAGATAAATATCAAGAATAAAATGCAAACCAGTGAAGATGGTAGTTTATAGTAGTTCGGTCAATCGTGACTTACATCCACTCCTCTGATTCCTCTTCCGTCGAGGCCACCGGCATCCACTAACGATCTTCCTTTACTAGGCGAAGATCAACCTCCTTCTTACACCCCTCTTCTCCTTTTACCGAGTTTAGGAGACAACCCTTACAAGCACTCACACTCCTCTTACAGAATTATAACACTTAGAACTTGAGGAGGATTCTCACAAGGGATTTCTATAGCATTTCTTTACTTTTAAACTCTCTATGCTTGTGTGCTTTAACCAGAGATGAGAAGGGTATTTATAGGCTTTAAGTTGATTCAAACTTGGAGCCTAAAAACATCTCATCCCGGGTTCCTCGAGCACGGGCAGTACCACCACCCAGTGTCAGTTTGACTGACACTGTCCTGGGCGGTACCACTGCCTGGGGCATAGTGCTGGGCGGTACCATTGCCCAGACTCGCGGTACCACTGCCTGGCACCCTGCCAGGGGTGGTACAACCGCCCAGATTGGCAGTACCACCACTTGACACAATCTCGAAGACTGTGCCATGATAGTGCGTCTTCTTGGGGCACTGTTTAGGCTTCTTATTGGGCCCAACACAGTTCTTACATAGGCTTAGCTAGCCCGTAATTGGGTTGGCTCAATCCAAGCCCAATTACGTGCTAACTACGATTCCTAAGACATATTCTAAGCTAAACTAAGTCTGTAAGTCTATTCTTCTGGCGAGCTTCCGGCGATCTTCCGGCGAACCTCCGACGAACTCTCGGCAATGCTCCGGTGGACTCCCGGCAAGCTCCTAGATTTCATGATGATCTTCTTGGCGAGTTCCGACGAGTTGATTTGACCTTTGCACCTCCACTTACTCTTAAAATAGAATTCTAAACCCTTAGGCTAGAGGAGGAGAACTCATAATATTACAATAGAATTTTGCCTTATTTGTGTACTCAGTTGTGTGTATGTTAACCAGGGATGAGAGGGGTATTTATAGGCCTCAAGTTGATTCAAACTTGAAGCCTAAAAAGGTCTCATCCCGGGTTTCCCGGGTCCTAGCGGTACCACCGCCTATGCTAGGCGGTACCACCGCTTGGGAGACTGTGTCTAGGTGGTACCATCGCCCAGACTAGTAGTACCACTGCTTGACAATCTCGAAGACTGATTCTGGGTAGTACCACCGCTTGACATAGTCTCAGAGACTGTACCACAATAGTTCCACCTGTTGGGTCACTGTTTGGGCCTTTCACTTGGCCCAACACAGTCCATACATAGGCCCAATTGGCCCCTAATTGGGTTGGCTCAATTCCAATCCTAATTATATGCTAACTACGAATTCTAAGGCATATACTAAGCAAATCCGGTCCGATTAGTCTTGGTTTCTTCTAGCGAGCTTCCGACGAATTTCTGACGATCTCTCACCAATGTTCCAGTTGACTCCCGGCAAGCTCTTGGACTTCACGACGATCTTCTTGGCGAGTTTCAACGAGCTTCTTTGGCAAGCTCCTGGACTTCTCGGTCAATTCCAGTAGAACTTCCGACAAACATCCGAACTTCCGATGAACTTTCGAACTCCCAACGAAATCTTGTTCTTGACTCCGGGATTTTATTTTGCTTTATGCCTTGATCACTATCGTAGTTAATCCTGCACAAATAAAACCTATTTCGATCTAGACAATTATTACAAAGCTTGAATCATGTTGTCCGGCATGTCATTGGTTCATCGACGCTTTGTTCGATTATTCAGTGCATCGTCTTCCCTTGCAACATATTGCCCAATCAACCAGTTGACCTCCGCAACTCCGATATCCTTGGTGTAATTTCAACTCTTATTGGCCCGATGCCAGAACTCATGGCCTGAAGCCTTCTGTCGATATATCGACCGATCCTTTGGCGCGACATCCAATCTTCTGACATGTTCCATTCCGGTCGAACATGATTCTTCCTACTTTTAATTGTCTCTCCCTGATCGGAGCTTTCTGCGTTACTCAAAACGCAGATAAGATAAACACTATCAATTGGTTTAATCATCAAAATTCGAGATTCAATAATATTATCGTTCAAGTAAAAAATAAGAGTTTTTTTTCGTTCAAATTGAAGAAAGAAACCCCTAATGTTTTTACAAACATGAGCTTTTTTCTTCTGTAAAGGTCAAGGCAAAAAAAAAATTATTATATTATTATGAGCTTTTTTCTTCTGTAAATTATTCCTTTCTTAAAGAACCAACCGATGGGAAAACAATTCTCACATTTATGCTTTGTATTTATACTATGCAACAATAAGCTATGCTTATAATATATCATATTATACTGTGGTATATATATTATCTTATACTGCATCGTATCATACCATAGTATTATAGTATTATGGTATACAAAAATTATATCGTACAGTCTGGCAAGTATATAAATGCAGAGCAGAGAAATATGCACTCGTTGTTCGACCGGAAGAGCAAAATGGCTGTTAAACCCACACCCGCCGCCCGGCCTTCCTCTCGCTATCTCGACCGCGTCCTCCTCTCTCTCCCCGACCCAAGGCGTCTCCCTAACCGCATTTGGCCTGACGACGACAACGACCGCCACCGCCATGACGCTTCCTCCTCCTCCTCCTCGGCAGTCGCCACCTCCGTCCCCTGCGCGGCCTCCCCCTTCTGCGAGGACGCTCCGCCGCCGCCTCCTGTCAAACTCAGCCATCCTCTCCTCCGCGCCCTTGAGTCATCCGGCGGCCCCGCAACACCTCCATTCTCCCAAACCCTCGCGCAGCTCATCGTATCTGGCCTCGCTCTCCACCGCCTCGCCGCTGGCCGCGCCATCAAGGCGCTCTGTGCTTGCCCTTCCTCTGTCCCTCTCGCCGTTTCCCTCTTCTCCGGCGTCGACGACCCCGACGCCTTCCTCTCCAACATCATCCTCCGATCCTATATCTCCTTCGGCCGGCCTGACCAAGCGCTCGCCTTCTTCCGCCGTCACGCGCTCCCTTCCCGCGTCTTCCCCAACCATTTCACCTTCCCACTTCTCGCGAAGCTGTTCTCCGAGCTCGGACGCGCTGGGGACGGGCGGAGCGTCCACTCGCTGGCCGCTAGACTGGGTTTTGAGTCCGATTTGTACGTTCGGAACTCTCTGATTCACATGTACTCGACTTTGGGTGATGTCGACTCCGCCCGCAAGCTCTTCGATTTGGATCTCGATTCGGATTTTGTCACCTGGAATTCTATGATCGATGGGTACGTAAAGAATGGGATGGTTGATTCTGCTCGCAGGTTGTTCGATGATATGTCCGAAAGGGATATAATCACTTGGAATGTGATGATTGCTGGGCATGCTGGAGTTGGGGATATGGACGCAGCGAAGGATCTGTTCATAAAGATGCCTGAGAGAGATGTTGTCTCATGGAACACCTTGATCGATGGATATGCTAGGAAAGACGAAACTGGGGTTGCTAGAGAGCTCTTTGATGTGATGCCCATCAAGAATATGGTGTCTTGGAATGTCGTGCTGGCTCTGTATGCTCGGATCAAGAATTACAGGGAGTGCCTGAAGTTGTTTGATAGTATGACTGCGACGGGGGATGCAAAGCCAAATGAGGCTACTTTTGTCAGTGTCCTGACGGCCTGTGCATGTTTAGGTGATCTTGCTAGGGGAAAGTGGGTGCATTCTCTGATGAAGAATAGTTCTGGAGCAATAAAGCCTGATGTATTACTGTCAACCGCGCTCTTGAATATGTATTCCAAGTGTGGGGATATGCATTTGGCTAAGGAAATCTTTGACTCAATGGAGGAGCACAGTGTAGCAACATGGAACTCTATGATCATCGGATATGGTTTGCATGGAAATGGTGAGAAGGCTCTCGAATTGTTCATGAAAATGGAGAAAGAAGGGCCTAGGCCCAATGAAGCCACCTTTGTGTGTGTTCTGAGTGCATGTGCTCATGGAGGAATGGTGTTGGAAGGCTGGTGGTGCTTTGATCGCATGATTCACTTCCACAAGATTGAACCCAAGGTGGACCATTTTGGTTGCCTGATGGATCTCCTTAGTCGAGCTGGTTTTCTAAAGGTCTCGGAGAAGCTGGTCCAGGGAATGCCAGTTGAGCCGGTGCCAGCCTTATGGGGAGCATTAGTGTCAGCTTGCAAGACCCATTGTGATTTGCATCTTGGGGAGGTTATTGGCAAAAAGTTGATTGACATGGAGCCTCAAGACATTGGGCCTTATATATTGTTATCTAATATATATGCAGCAAAAGGCAGATGGGATGATGTAGAGAAGGTAAGGAAGATGATGGAGAAGAAAGGTTTGCGGAAGGGTACAGGAATTAGCTTAGTGAGTATTGATGATCATGTTGTGGATCACAACATTTCAGTTGGTAAAAAAAGTGTGGTTTTCTCAATGTTGAGTGAGATGGGTATGAGCATCAAGTCATCATGTACTGGGACGTATAAGATGCAGAGGAATACAGTTTGACTCGATAATTCATATTCCATATTAGTTGATTCATATGCTTCAAAATTGCTGATAGAGAAATGTGAAAAATATTTCTCAACTGATTGGAATATGATCCAGATGAGCAATTATAGGGTGATATTTGCTTATACTCCAGAAAAATTGGGAGGACAAATTCAGCCTAGTTTTGGGGGATGTGACTTAGTACAGAGATTCTACAGGATAATTTGGCAGGAACATATACTATCAGACATAACAAATGAGAAATAAGGTTCATCATAATAGATGGCTTTTCTGTGAAGTGACGGATTGGGAGAAATTTGACGGATTCCATTTAAACCGAGTGTTGCTCATAATGTTCAGCAGAGATCCCTATGCTGACATCTCTAATAAGTGGTAAGTTACAGCTCAAAAACTCGCTTATTCAGTTATCATTTGCTATTGTTGTGTTCTTCTGGGAGATGATTAGGATTAAGAGTCGTTTACCGTAGTCAATTGTGCAATTCATAATTGTACAAGAAGGAAATTGGCTTGCCTTTTGTAGGAAGACGGATAGGCAGCTTACTTTTTGGGGGCAAAAGGAATGAAGCACATTCTTTTTTTTGTGTGTGTTGTGAAGGATTCTGCAGGGACCTTCAGTGGACTCGTGTTGGCAAGCTATTTGGATCAGGAGTTATACATCTTCAAGAGTGACAAATGTTTGCTGACATCTTTGTACTAAAAGCAACTTAATTTCAGTGTGAAGCTTAACCTCATTTGATCCAAACTATCCTTGTGTTTGGAAAATACCTCTTTTCCTTGGAGATACGTAGATAACTGAGATTGAAGATTGGTTTGGGTCAGACTGAAGTCCTTTCCAGTAGTCAAAGAGGAGTCTACAGGTTCAAAACAGATCTTAAAGACATCTCAAATCATGACAATGGCGGATCGATCACACCTCAGCACTGAGCAGTAGATGACCGAACACAGCACTTCCATGCAGAGGATGCTTCATCTCGACATTGGTAATACTGCTGATGAGGTTGGCTCTTCTCTTGATGAGAGTGAGATCTGAAGGAAAGAGTTAAGAGAGTTCTTGCCGATCATCTCCATCGACTATCCATGGAAATAATTCACCATGCTGATTGGCTCTCGATATCAACAAATGGGAGGGAGAACTTTCATTTGTGGTGGCAATAGGTTTCTTGGTGCCAAGTATGTATTTTCATTGTTATTGCAATTTATGGACAATTCCAATAGTTAAAAAAGATATTGCATAGTTGATGAAATGAATTTTTTGACATGTTTCTGCTAATATCTTTGGCTAAATTCCATCCGGGTTGGTCACTAAATAATAAATAATGGGAAGACGTTTTTTGGTCAATCGATCATGCTATATATAGTTTAATGTTCTTCTTCTTTTCCTCTTGTTTTTATTGTTCAACAGACAAACAAGGAAACTGAAACTAAGCCCTAATCCGACCAGTTGAGCATTTGATTTTAATGATTTGACTTTGTACTTTCAGGATGTATGTAGGAAAGATTAATTGACATTAAATAATTGCTTAAACTCAAATGAGAAGAAGAAAACAATGTACTTCTTGCCAAATCCTAGTGGAGGTACCAAGCATTTGTGGGATGGCACTGCCATCTTATTTGATGGCACGTCCACGAGAGAGCCATAGCACGTCTCTCTTACTCCTTTTAAACTACGCCATGCATCATCATCATCATCATCATCATCATCATCATCATACAAGCAGCTTTCTCCTATATAACAGGCAGCGACGTGCCCCAGCTCTTCACCACCACCCTCCTCCTCGATCAAAGAAAGAAGATACGGCATCAGAGACAGTCACTGGGGTGTGTTCGTGTGTGTATAAAGGGATGCGACGCATCGATACTGTTGGATGGGAGTGGAACCGAGAAGAGGGTACGACCTCATCGACCAGGCCAAGGCAGCACTGGAAAGCAAATGCCCCGGCGTTGTTTCCTGCGCTGATATCATCGTCGTCGCAACGAGGGATGCTGTCGTGCTGGTACGTGCGGTGCATGCATGCGTGGGGTTTACTTACTGTATGCTTCGTCCGTCGTCGTCTTCTGTTCTCACCGGAGATCGATGTTTCAGGGAGGTGGGACGCAGTATACGTATGCGGTTCAGACAGGGAGGAGGGATGGCAACATCTCGCTTGCGTCTGATGCCACCAGAAATCTGCCTGGGGATTCCTTCTCGGCATCCCAAGCGACTGATGCGTTCCGGGCGAAAGGGCTCAGCGCTTCGGACATGGTGTTACTTCTAGGTAACTTCGTCTTCCACAGTGTCATGATGAATCAAGATGAGTGTTGGTCAGCTTGTGTGCCGATCGAGAGATGGATATGGGTAAAAGCTTAAGCGTCTCCGTTGTTGATCTGCAGGAGGACATACCGTTGGGCTCACGCACTGCTCCTTCATCCTTAATCGTCTCTACAACTACAATGGGTCGGGGAAACCAGACCCGGCCATGGATCCCGCGTTTGTGACCATGCTCAAGTCGAGGTGCCCGCAGACGTCGACGGTTGACAACACCGTCCTCCTCGACCACGGCAATCCCACCACCGTGGACAACAGCTACTACGAGCAGCTCCTGGCGAGAAGGGGCGTGCTCACAGTGGATCAGAACATAGCGTCGGACGCGGCGACCAACGCCACGGTGAGGGCGCTGGCCGGCGGCAGCTCGAGCTTCCCGGCTCTGTTCGGGGGTGCCATGGTGAGGAGGATGGGCGGCATCCAGGTGCTCACTGGGACGCAAGGCCAGATCCGGAAGTCGTGCCGAGTCGTCCTTTGGTTTGGGAGTTCCTTTTGTCATTTGAACTTT